CATGCAATAAAATTTAAATACTTTTTCATAAAAAATATTTTAAATGCCTATAGTGATAAACTGCATGAAAGTATCAGATCTAGAAGAAAAAAAATCGACATAATATAAATTGGTAAAGCTTTCATAAAAACATTGATTATAAACACATTTTAATATTATGACAAAAGCAAATATCAACTTATTCCAAATTAGTTTGATTTTTAATTAAATTTTAATTGGTTTTCTGCAAATAGCTGCCAGAAACGGATCAGAAATATTCATAACTTTTTATTGATTTTGTCATATCTGAGTTTCAAAGAATTGTTTTTTTGGACAAAACGGTGCATTTTGATGAAATGTGTGTCGTAACATTTGGGAATCGTCGATTTCCGAATCTACATTATGCAAATTGCACAATAAATAATTCATAGACGAAAGTAACACCTCGTAACTCTATCTCGAATAAATTAGCATATTAAGTAAAATCGAAGCCATAATTAGTTTTAGTTGGGGCGTCACTTTATTGATAATACACTGACTGAAACTTTGTTGTAAACAATTATATTTCCTTTTCTCCAAATTGCTTTCAGCGCTTCTAATTACAATTTTAATTGAATAAAGAGAGGGTGGCTCCTTGTAAAAACTAAACTTTTAATTGAAGCTTAATCGAGTTGGTTCCGTGATCGCGTCATGGGGGCGAGAACTTGTGAAACAGCCCTAATAATACTCCGATATAGCCGTCAATACGACGCATTCATTAAAACTTTTCCCAGAATCCGACAACGGCGCCAGATCACATTTCAGCCCGGCTTGATCTTAATTAACAACCTTTCGAAGAATTGCACAAAAAACACGAGATTCAACTCCCCCAAAAAAAATAGAAAAAAAAATATCTATAAAAATTTCGGGGTTATGAGAGTTAAAATTTTGCACTTTGATTCTATTTGTTTGTTGGAAAAATAATTTCCCAAGTTTTTTTACTACAGGCTATTAGAAGAGGAAACAAACAAGCTGTACCCTAAATTGTTATGTTATATGTTATTTGAGGCTTTTATTGGCAAAATTTTTGTACGTTTACTAAATAATTATAAAAAAAACATACAGGGTGTCCCCCTGTAAAGAAAAATTATAAAGGACATTAATAGATATTAATCTAGTCCAGCGTGTCTCAAAATGCATGGGCCGGATAGCTTGTTCCTTCAGCTTCAATTTGCTTTTTGTATGTTCTTTTTACGTCAATTTTTCGCTGAGATATTTAATTTTTTATGAAAAAAAAATGTTTGTCTTTGATCATCAAAATTTCAGCAACCAATGAGTGCACAAAGAATGTAAAAATAATTTCAAAAACTGGAATAAATATCCTATATATTTTTACAATTTAAAAAATTTCTCTCAAGATTGATTAAAAAAAAAGAGAAAAATGTAAGTTAATAAATCTGCGATGTATCCACAAATATTGATGGGAAGACTAATGTGACCTGTTTTTTTACAAAAAAAAACGAAAAAAAAATGTTCCTTTATATTTTTGAAAATTTGAAAAACAAACAAAAAATACTGACTAATTTTTGAGGCAATTCAGCTCTTGTATACTCTAATTTTACTCATCTCAAATTAATTACACTAATTAAAAATTGATACTCCCAATAAGCTGTTTTCAGCACTCGATTTACGAACATTCATGCAAATTTTTTAAAAAAGCCAAATTTTCTAAGAATTATTTCCGAATTTTTTTTTTTTTAATTTAACAGTATTGCAATATTTTTCAAAACTCAACAATTTCAAGCATATTGCAACTTTGGACATGTACTATTTTTTTACTGTTATTTATTGATTTCTTTTTATATACAAAAATTTATATTGTTTTTAAATGTTCTAAATATTAAATACATTAAATTCAGCAACAGAGAAGAAGTATCCTTTTTTTCGCGAATTGTTTCTTCAAGTTATACCGACATAATTATGTGTAAAAGATCTGCAAACAAACTTTTTATGTTATTTGCATTGCTTTAAAGATGTTTAATTTATCAAGTTTTTTGTTTATGCATCCAAAATTTTTGTACCTTTACTAAATAATTATAAAAAAAAAACATACAGAGTGTCTCAGCGATTTGAAAAAGTCCATTAGTGACCTTTAAATGGTAAAGTTAAAGAAGCGTGTCTCAAAAATAAGTTACAATACAAACTTGTGTTTTTTTAAATGAAACACCATATATTTCTTAGGCTTTTTGGATGTAGATTTTTATGACAATGTTCTTAAGCTAAACTTTTATTGGTCGATTTTGCTTAGTTTTAAAAATAAGACGTTTTTTTTGACGAAATCATGCACTATTTAAAAATTTATAACACAAAAACTAAAACATCTAGAAATATTTTTTACCACCGCAAAGAAGAAGGTACAAGCTATAAGGTTGTATTTTTTTTAGTGTGTTGCATTGTTAAGATAAAAAAATGAAAGCACTTGTTAAAAGTTCAATAACTTAAAAAATTTAAATAGAACACCTTATTTATTGTTTTTGAATTTAAAAGACTATTAAATTGTCTTCCTAAAATTATTTATTTTTAGGTGTTTATAATCAATAACTAAAAAGATATTTAACGTTAAACATTAAAAAAATAATTACTATTGTTTCTGTAGCCAAAAAGTGCACAGTAGCACAAGAGATGGAAAAGATATCACTTAATAATCACATTTGTGTTAAACTGAATTAATTATTCTTTATTTTTACAATAAAATAATTTGAATTTCAGTATTTATAACGACTTTTATAAATCAACGGATAAGTAATCCGTGGTAGAATTACTATTGATAAATTGTTGCTACAATTAATATTGAATGTTAAATATCTTTTTATTTATCAATTGTAGACATTAAAAGTTTGTT